TCTCTGTTCTTCTTAATATTGACTAACTGCCATAGACCCCATACTATTTAATAGTCATTTAAAAAAAAAAGGAAAATTTAACTTTTACAATTGAGAATGTGTGTAAATCTCTGTTCTTCTTAACATTGACTAACTGCCATAGACCCCATACTATTTAATAGTCATTTAAAAAAAAAGTAAAATTTAACTTTTACAGTGAAGATTGTGTGTAAATATATTTTCTTCTTAATATTGACCAGCTGTGTTTGTATCCCCCCCCCCCCCCCCCCCCCCCCCCCCCCCCCCCCCCCCCCCCCCCCCCCCCCCCCAAAAAAAAGGCAGTCCACAGAATTAAACAGACACGTTTCGACCGAAATAATAAAATTTGTTCTTTGAACCACCAGACACAGATCACCAGATGAGAAAGACTGACCCAGTGTAGACGACTGACCTAGCCAGTTACAGCACTGTAACATTCTACAATGGGGTGACATCTTATTCTTGTATGTGTAAAAAAATTTTTTTTTTTATTTCTAGAACTTGTGAGAGCAAAGGACAGGTTCCAGGAGAGCTGTCAAAATGAGAAGGTATGTAAACCTGTCATTTGTGGTCTATTTATGCTTGGTTTCCTAGTTGTAGGATTGACTACATTGCACCAGGATCTATCCTGTAAGCTTAGTCTCACTTCTTCAAATGGCTCTCCACCCGCCAGAAGCGTTACTCAAAGCATAAACTCTATAGCTAGATGTAAACTACAAACATTCGCTAACTGGGTCCAATGCAGAATTGATTTATGGCACCTCTCCGTCTTTTCAGACGATAATGTTGTGTTGCACTATGAGAAGGCATGAGACTCACAGTCCATGGCAAGGGCAAGTTAGACCAATAAAACCTGCCTGCATTAAGAAGAGTCTTCCACAATTATAGCATGGGATTTCAGGGCGGCTGTTCTCAGCATTTGTGTTTACTATGTTTCTTTTCAGATGCTCATCTTTCATCCTTTCTGCAATAATTTCTTCCTTCAGTCTCATTCCCTTTCTGATGTGCCCTCTCCACACAACATGGCCCATGGCATTTTGTTCCCACGGGTCCACCTCAATACCTGTATCATTCGTGTCTGGCTTGCATATATCTTTCTTTCGTAGTAGAGGTGGGCCTCAACATCTTCTACCCATCTTAAATTCACCATGGAGGATGTCTTTAGGGAGAATTAAATGGTATAATAGAATCACTAATGGGGAGCCTTCAGAGTTTCAGAGAGAATAAAGTCCAGAGAATCAAGAGGTAAAGACAAGCTGCAGAGTTGAATAGGACACACATTGAGGAAACCTGAGAACAGTGTAATTAGAAGGTCTTTATGCTGGAACCCACTGCGGCATCGAAATAAAGGCAACCAGCAATTTTAAAAAAAAAACGGAGAAGGGAACTAAAGAATGTGATTTAAAAGGTGAGGAGGACATGGTGTGAGTTGATAGCCTATGCTCCATTGGGGGATGAAGGGAAAAGAATAAAGAAGAAGTATGTAAACCACTACAGACTTTATCATCAAGTCCCTGCCAGCCGTCTTGTTGATACTACTTCTCTACATGCCAGTCTAGCTAGTGTTTAAACTGGTTCCATTACAGCATGAACATATTTCCGCCATCTAGACCAGATCTATTCAGCTGGCTGCCTGCTGGCCGAGTCAGACCCACAGAGGTCCACGATATGGCCCTCGGATAACTACCAGTTGTGTTTTATTAATGATCTTTCTATGTCAGGGCTCAGGCATCTTGTCCATGGTGATCCCCATTCTCAACATTTTCGGCCACAGAGTAAACTTATTTGAATAGCCCAGATCTAGATATACTTAAATCAAACCGTCCTCTTATATACATTAGCCTACATCTGTGTGCAGTACAAACCTGCTCCCAGGTGTGCTGCGCTCAATATAATCAATACGCAAAACTCATAATGTGTCAGCAAGAGTTTTCTGAGTTAGAAGATGTAATCATTGAAATATCACCTGTGGAAGGAGAAGAGCATCAATATAGTCGGCCGTGTCTCGCATAATACCTGTGTTTTATGAGAGGCTGAACTGGCTAGAGATCATATTTGTGATTGGCTTCAGATACTCGCTAGTCTGGCTGAGTTGTTAGTGGCCTCTATAAGTTGTGGACACATGTAGCTTGCAACAATTTAAGGCAAAAGATTTCATTCGGTCACAGTGTTAGTATTGTCATATTCATTATCTGCTATCACCTGGGTCTCTTGGATATGTTTGATGTCCTGCGTTTATGACTGATGTCATGTGTTTATGGCCGATGTCCTGTGTTTGTGGCCAGCGTTCTTTATTTATGACCGATGTCCTATATTTATGACTGATATCCTGTGTTTGTAACTGATCTGTATTTCTGACTGATATCCTGTACTTATGATGTCCTGTACTTATAATGTCCTGTGTTTGTGACTTATGTCCTGTATTTGTGACTGATGTCCTGTATTTGTGACTGATGTCCTGTATTTGTGACTGATGTCCTGTATTTGTGACTGATGTCCCGTAATTGTGACTGATGTCCGGTATTTGTGACTGATGTCCAGTATTTGTGACTGATGTCCTGTATTTGTGACTGATGTCCTGTGTTTGTAACTGATGTCCTGTACTTACGGTATCCTGTATTTGTGACTGATGTCTTGTATTTGTGACCGATGTTCAATGTTTGTGATTGATGTCCTGTGTTTGTGACTGATGTTCAATGTTTGTGACTGATGTCCGGTATTTGTGATTGATGTCCTGTGTTTGTGATTGATGTCCTATGTTTGTGACTGGTTTCCTCCTTGTGGGTTCTGGTGTCCCATTTCGAGTGAAAAAGAATAGTCCCACTGCTCCCTTAACAAGCATGTCATAAAAGGCAACTAATTAGGGGTTTTCTGAAATCTGATGTTTTGGGCTTAAAGTTGCAGGTGCAAACAGCCCTTTCTGTGGCAAATGAAGTAGAAGAAGGAGAAACATTAGCTTTTGTTGTACAAAGAGGAAATTGAAACATTCTTGTCCCATAGATGTGTTGCTGTATGTACCTACCCGAATGCAACTCCAAGCTGGGTAGGGCGGATGTCAGGCACTCAGGGGTGTTCTAGCCAGCTACATACCTCCTCTAGGTTTCCACTGTTACACAGTATCCCATAAGTGTCCATACATAGGAAAAGTCAACACATCACCAGCACCATTACAAGCATAACTCCAGCTTCGCTTACACCTGTTCTTCACCCATGCGGGATACAGTCGTGTAGAACAGTGGTTCTCAAACTAGCGCGGCAATAAAGAAAAATGCATCCAGTTTCCTTCATCGCATTAAAGACAGCTGAGCATTAAATGTGCCCTGTTTTTTCTTCTTTTTCTAAGTATTCAAACCGCTTTAAGGATACATGTGCCGCGATAAAAATTTAGCCTGACAAGGGTGCCGCGGCCAAAAAAGTTTGAGAAGCGCTGATGTAGAGTATATTATATAAATTTGATAAAATGGTTTGGTTTTCCTGTGAAAAAAAAATTATTATTATTCTTATGTATGGAAGCTTATGGGACACCCTGCATATTTGTGTCACATAAAGTCACATTTCTGACACTGGCCGAGGGGTTTCACATGTCTACTATAGAGCTGTGTTTGCTTTATTCATGTGTGATGTTTTCTAGCACGGCCCACTGCCTTGTCACTGCTGGCTGGCTGGCTATCAGTTAGCATTGTCATTGAAGCATGAATGTGTTATTTGTACTCATTGTTCATTTAAAGATCCATCTTCATAGCACATCAGACTTGGCCATAAGTGCTCCGATCTTCTCCTGAGTATGTCTCCAGATGTTTTAGGCTAACAACTCCCACTCGTTATATATATACTTATAAGGCGCTTAACTCATCATAAATCAGCAGCAGGTCCTTTGCAGAACATCAAGGCACTCCTGAAAGGCTCTCTTTCTCTAGCCAGTTCTCGGATCAGTAAACTGCATTATTCAACTGTCCTGCTTCTCTGTAATGCTTTAATGGGTGAGCAGATTATTCAGCAGCCATGTTATTATGTAACAAGCACAGAACAACTCCATAAAGTACACACAAAAACGCTGCATTTGTAGCAGATATGTAAACTGGTTTGTTTGTTCATTGTAGCATAGAAGACATTCTCAGGTTCTCAGGGGGCTGCGTGGCCTTGAGGTATGGTGTCCGCTTCGAGTGCTAGAAGTTCTTGGTTCAATCCCCAGTAAAGGCTGGGTTTTTTCACGTGGACTTGGACTTCTAGTAATTTCCCCTGGTATCTGAATAGTGAGATCGGACGCCCGTGTGCATTGTTGTACGAATGTTGCAAAAAACCTACCACCACATGCTCGCTTTAAAGCTCCAGAAGTCCAAACTAAATTGGTAGGCGAGGAAACCAAACAGTCCGACCCAATCGCTCTTATGAACTCATCACTAAAGACCGTTGATTCTTACCCCCAAGAATGGATACATGTCTATACTGATGGATCAGCATTTAAAGCTACCATTAAAGCAGGTTACGGAATCTACATAGGTTATCCCGATGGATCTGTTGAAGAGATTTTTGATGCATGCGGGGAATTCTGTTCAAACTATGAAGCTGAAATAATTGCACTGGAAACAGCAGTATACCACCTAAAGACTGTAATGGATGTTTACCCCTCAAAGGTCCAAAATATTGTCATCTTCACAGATTCAATGTCTGCCCTTCAAGCTCTGGAGGGCAATGAACGCTGCAGAACTGACATAGCCAAGATAATCCTGGATGCCGATCATCTTATTACCTCATACAACATCAGAATAGTGATGCAGTGGATTCCAGGTCACTCCGGCACACCAGGTAATGACAGAGCTGACAGATTGGCAAAGAAAGGAGCAACACAAGAACAACCACCTACAGCGACAACCCTCCAGACAGCAAAAACACTGATAAGAGCTATAAACAAAGAGACTTGGTTGAACAGATGGGCCATGGGAGACACTGGAAGAGAGGTTTATAGACATATGTCTGGCCCTGATCCTAATGACAGCATTAACCATCTAACAAGAAGGGACCAGGCCACCATCTTCAGACTTAGAACGCAACATACTCCACTCAATGGACACCTAAACAGAATACAGCCACAACACTCCCCAGAGTGCCAGCTATGTAACTACCCCTACGAAACTGTTGAACACCATCTCTTTGAGTGCCCAAAACTCAGTGAGACAAGAAGAACGCTACTCCCTCCGAGACCAGACAAGTGGAACACCTTGTACGGAGGAAAAGAACAGCTTGTGAAAACATGCAAATTCCACTACATGGCATTGGGCCAAAGGGCGAAAGCTCATGCGCCGCTGGATCGATAACAACAACAACAACAACATTGTTGTACACGTAAAAAATCCCTTGGCTGTTGGAAATCAAAAAGAGCAGCCTAACGGCGTTGCCCAGGCAAAATTTTGAGTTAAAAATCTATCCAAAGTATTTCAGGATCTTCGCCGGTGCTACAGAGCCTGTGCACTGTGCTGAGCTTCTTTGGACTCAGACTTGAGTTAGAAGAAGAATGGAGAGAGCACTTATGGGTTACACCCGTGTCCCATGTTGATCCGTTGTTCAAAACCTCGAACCTCAGGTTCTCAGACAGCACGGCTTTATTGATGTCCTTTAGTCTGAAACTTTGTTTACCTGACAACTTAGAGGGAGGTCTGAATTTTGTCTTCTCATTTACACGTGTCATTAGTCTATCTATTCCTGTATGTATACTGTTTAGTATGAATCATAATTTACATAGAGCTCTTTTGAACTAATTATGTATATTGTTTTGTGCTCTTCTTTGTCTGTTCAGAGTGAGCTACATAATCGAATCAAGTCCCTTAACCAGCAGTACAGCATGGTTCAGGTGAGTGTTGCAGCTACAGTCGAGCCTTGTTAACATGAATTCCCTAGGGCGGAGAAATCAAGAGTTGGTGTTACAACATGTGCTTGCTGAGTGAGGACTAATACATGGGTTATAAATAATACCATATGTCAACCTGTATCAGACACATCAAAGTATAAGATATTCCCAGTTTTTCTAACCCAGTTAAGAAATAAATAATTCAAACACTATAACAACTTTGATATTTTTTTTAAATTATTCGAAACATTGTTATGTTTAGTACTTGGGAGTTTGTGACGGCTGTTTGTCATAGTGCCAGAAGGGAGAAGAGGCTTGGGGAAACAAATGTGAATGGCAGCATGCATTTATTTATATATTAAATTACAACATTTTGTTTAGAAGTCAACCTACCCACCATGTTGAATTGAATGTTGAATAAGAATCAACATCACAGCCCTTGGGACACCTCCATAAGCGGTCCATCCCCTCCTTCAGCAGCAAGCGAAGTTCCAGTTAGGATGGTACCAGTAACTGTGTGATGGTATATCAGTCTCACCTTTTCCCTGAGTGTAGAGCGTCGGCCAGGTCCCCTGGAATCTCCCCACAGTGCCATTCTCCTCATACCGTAATGATCTGTCTGTGCCTTTGCTCTGTTCACTCACTCCCAAAGGGACGTCACAACATCTAGCTTATCATACATCAATTCACAACCAGGTGGTGCAGAGCTGGCCAGTCTATCTGCCTGCTCATTTCCAACCACACCGGCATGACCTAAAAGGATGCTAACTACCCGTTACATCTGAAGTAATGCTTGCCACTCTGCACAGAGCATACATGTCTCCACCATTCTCAAGATGCTCTGTGAGTCAGTTACAATTATGACCCGTAGACCAGATCAGAAATAGGCCACCCAAAATTCAGTGTTAACAAAGAACAGTTAATAACACTGAGAACAGGAACTTTCCACAAAGCCCGGGTCATGATGACCATATAGAATCTAATATATGTGAAGACATGGTATATCTGAACACCATCCTGAAAAGTGACTGCTAGCTGATTATCTTCTCCTGACTGTTACAAGTTATTTCTCCTTGTTTATGCTCTCCCAGACTCAAGACTGGGATAAAAGGAAATACACACCTGGAACAGCTCTTCCGTTTCAGAAATAGGATAGTCTATTGAAACTTTTGCTGGGCAGCAATTATGGTGTCTTGTGTCTGCTGCTGACACTGAAACCTGGTTTATTTGTTAAGGTAGACTGTGTCAGAATATTCTCAAGACATAGATGTCTGGGATGTGGCAGAGGGAGGGAGGTTGTTGATAGTATGTCTGTTACAGCTGATCCAGTCTTCTTCTTCTTCTTTTCATTCTCCCTGCCAGTGGTTTTCATATGAGAAGGCCTTAGGCCTCTATGAAGCCTGTGATGTGAATCATGTGTTCCAGTGTTCCACACAACTTGGTTTTCATTGGAATGCCAGCAGGCCAATCCTGGGATCTCTCGACTGCATGCAGAGAGCCTGACTGTAGCAAATGTTTCTTTTGTTCTGTGCATATTTCCTTTGGTTTTGACTCAGTCTGTCTCTCTATACTCTTCTCCTGGCTCCACTAGGCAGAGGAAACACCTGTAACTTGGTTTGGCCTCCTTCAACAGGGAGGGCCTGCTATTACTGCTGCCTGACAGAGCTCAGCAGACTCATCATTCTCATGTTCGGTCGCAGGCATCGAGCACTCTAGAAACATACAGATGTGAGTCCTGAACCATCTCCCAGTCCTTAAAAAAAGAGAATATGGGCTTTTGAGCTGAAATGCTAAAGAAAGATTCTCAATCTTGGACACACAAAAAAGAAGAGAAATACTGACATCTTGAAAGATTTGCACATCAAGGAAGATTGGCTAATAAACACCATCCTGTCTCAGAAGCTGAAATATTTTGGTCATATCAAGCATCACTACGGATTGGAAAAAATAATAGCAGAAGGCATGGTACCAGGAAGGAGGAGCAGGGGCCGACCAAAATGAAGATGGGCACAGGAGATAAATGACTCCTTGAGTGTGAAAGTACATGAGGCGGGCAGAGCTGGTGAGAGACCAAGTTTCTTTCAGGCAGACCGTGATGAGAGCGACATTCTGCAAAGGACCTGATACATGTTGGTGATGGCATCACAGAGAGGAATTGCATGGTGCCTTAGCTTTTACTTTTGGCAGTGACACCTTTCTGGGTGTTTTTTTCCCCTGAACAATATTATATATATTTTTTTCAGTCACTCCCTTAACCTGAATTCTAAGGGACTGAAAATTTAGTTTGTGCTTTAAAACATTTGTGCTAACTATGGACTGTTACTGATTTAAGAATCAACCTCTGATGTTATCGACTATTAATAACAATAGATCCCTAACGGGCAAAAAATTGTGTTCATGTTAACTGAAAATTCTTCTTAAGTGACTTTGTGTTAACAAGGTTTGACTGTATTATATTCACTTAGTCTTTCAGCATTAAGATTAACCTGGCTGTTCGCATACCTCTTCCATCACACAGACACGTCTCACAGATCTCAGGTTCCATGTACTACCTTGTCCTTTCCTCGCTCATTCCCTGCCTGTCTCACACCCTGCCTGTCTGATTCCCTCACTCCCTGGCCATCTTATTCCCTGCCCGTCTCGTACCTTACCTGTCTCTCTATCTCTCTCACTCCCTGTCTGTCTCATTCTCTGCCTGCTTCACTCCCCACCTGTCTCATTGCCTACCTCTCTCACTCCCTGCCCACCTCATTCCATATCTTCTTCACTCCCTGTTCGTCTTTTTCTCCTTCCTCCCTTGCCTTGCCTGTATCCTTCCCTACCTGCTTCCAACCTGCCTCCCTCACTCCCCAATGCCTCATGCCCTGACTTTCTCATTCCCTACCCCCCTCACTCCTTGCCTGTCTTACACTGCCTGCCTGACTACCCCCACCTCTCTCTCTCTCTCTCTCTCTCTCTCTCTCTCTCTCTCTCTCTCTCTCTCTCTCTCTCTCTCTCTCTCTCTCTCTCTCTCTCACACATACACATACACACACACACACAGCCCCTCCCTGCATCTAACAAGTCACTGCTGGTTCCCACAGAGCCAGTACAAGGAGACGGAGGCAGATTTCATCAAACTCCGACAGGATGTGGACACCATGAAACTGGAGCGTTCCCAAGCTGACAGCGCCCATGCTGCTGAGTACGAGAAGCTCAAGCAGGAGAAGGAGACTGACATCGCCAAGCTGAAAGGTGATTAGTCTCTCAGCTCACACAACATCTCAGGTCACACAACATCTCAGCTCACACAACATCTCAGGTCACACAACATCTCAGGTCACACAACATCTCAGGTCACACAGCATCTCAGGTCACACAGCATCTCAGGTCACACAGCATCTCAGCTCACACAGCATCTCAGCTCACACAGCATCTCAGCTCACACATCTCAGCTCACACAACATCTCAGCTCACACAACATCTCGGCTCACACAACATCTCAGCTCACACAACATCTCAGGTCACACAACATCTCAGGTCACACAACATCTCAGCTCACACAACATCTCAGCTCACACAACATCTCAGCTCACACAACATCTCAGGTCACACAGCATCTCAGGTCACACAGCATCTCAGGTCACACAGCATCTCAGGTCACACAGCATCTCAGCTCACACAACATCTCAGCTCACACAGCATCTCAGGCACACAGCATCTCAGCTCACAGCATCTCAGGCACACAGCATCTCAGCTCACACAACATCTCAGCTCACACAACATCTCAGGTCACCCAACATCTCAGGTCACACAACATCTCAGCTCACACAGCATCTCAGCTCACACAACATCTCAGCTCACACAGCATCTCAGCTCACACAACATCTCAGCTCACACAGCATCTCAGCTCACACAACATCTCAGCTCACACAGCATCTCAGGCACACAGCATCTCAGCTCACAGCATCTCAGCTCACACAGCATCTCAGCTCACACAACATCTCAGGTCACACAGCATCTCAGCTCACACAGCATCTCAGCTCACACAACATCTCAGCTCACACAACATCTCAAGTCACACAACATCTCAGCTCACACAACATCTCAGCTCACAACATCTCAGCTCACACAGCATCTCAGCTCACACAGCATTTCAGGTCACACAACATCTCAGCTCACACAACATCTCAGGTCACACAGCATCTCAGGTCACACAGCATTTCAGCTCACACAGAATCTCGGGTCACACAGCATCTCAGCTCACACAGCATCTCAGCTCACACAGCATCTCAGCTCACACAGAATCTCAGCTCACACTGTATCTCAGGTCACCCAACATCTCAGATCATGCAACGAAACATCACAGGTGACCCGGGTTCTCAGGTCACAACACAAACCAGGTCACACAACATCATCTAACATCACATCTCAGGTCACACAGCAACACAACTCACTTCACAAAGCAGCACATCTCAGGTCATACAGCAACACATCTTAGGTCACACAGCAGCACATGTCAGGTCACACAGCAATACATCTCAGGTCACACAGCAACACATCTCAGGTCACACATATAATAAAACATGTATGTGTGTGTTGTTGCAAGATTGTGTGATATTCAGCTCATTTGTTATGTTTATTCACACTTTCTCAGTCTGTCTTTTTTCATCGCATTCCATGCTTTCCTCTCCCCTCTCTTTTTTCTTCCTCTCTATGTCCCTTCCTCCCTCACTACCTCTCTAACCCCTCTCACTCAACTCTTCCCTTTTCCTTCCTCTCCCCATCCTCTCTACTTCTGTATCTCTCCCTCCGCCCTCTCTTATATGTTTTTCTTTTTCTGTCTGTTCTTTCAAGCTTGTCCCTTTCAGTCTCTATCTTTTCTGATCTACCTTTCCTTCATTGACCCTATTTTTTCTTACTTTCATGTATCTTTATTTTAGTGTGTCTTTAAAAAAAACAATTGACCTTGAGTTTTCTCTATTTCTGTTTGTTTTTGTTGTTGTTTTGTTCAATTCCTCTATTAGTCTGCTTGTCTGTCATTCAGCCAGATTCTGGCTTCATTGCTTGTACATTGTATATTATATTTGTGTATATATATATCAACAAATCTGTCAATTCCTCCTCTCAGATGATGTTGCAGATCTCACCAGACAAAATCAGAACTTAGAAAACACCATTACCACCCTGCGGCAGAACGTCAAGGAGCATGAGGTCAGTTACTCATCCGTGTAGTCTAGTCTTCTTCTCAGAGTTCATTGGCTGTAAACTCTGGTTTAAAGTTCTGGTTGTTTGCCACTTTTGTACTTTGGTTTTTATTCCAAAATGTGATGCACTCTGACTTATAAAGGAAACAATCCTAATTATGCACCTTTGATTACATGGTTGTTAGGGGTGCGGTGAGCCTGTTCTTATTTTGGGCTGTAGTGAATAGATGCCTATCTGTAGATCCACACTTTGTGTGTTCACATCCTGATAAAGCCTTACTTTTTTTTCCAGGAGTGACCTTGGATCGCAGGTCAACCCAACCTTAAATGGGTACAAGGTAAAGTCATGGAAAGTAAAAGCGGCTGGTGTGATGTTGACCACATCACCCACCGAGTGCTGATTAGTGTATACAATATAGTTCTAGCCCTATATGCCTAATACACCTGGGGGCATGGAAAAGGGTCCTTTTACCTGTGAATGTATGTAGTTCATTAGTTTTGATTTAAATGTTCTTTGCTTGTTAAGACAAACTTATCGAGGTCGCCACAGAAGACATTTATTGCTCCTGTATACACAGACTAAACATAACTGCTTTACATGAGAAAACATGAGAGTCCAAGCACCATTAGTTGAGCTTGGAGACTACATCACCACCAGTGTTGCTACTTTGGATATTTTACATCCAGATTTAAATGTTTTCCCTTGCATTTAGATGGCATTTTTGATTTTTAAATGGTAGATGTTTTTCATCTGGAGTGAATTTATCAAATCTAACCTAAGAAACAGGATAAAATTTGACCTCTTAAATGCTATCTTGACAATAAATTTCGGCCTGATAAGAGTAGAACAATGCTGTTCCACTCAAGATGAGGACATAATTCTATAGGGTAAGTCATATCAATGCCGCGTCCGTGGCTAAGGCGTTGCGAGTCCAACTCGTAAGCCAGCATACCGCGATTGAAACCCACTGCAGGCTGCGTGGATTTTTGTCGTGGTATGGGACGTCGCAGGTCGACCCAGCCTAAAATGGGTACCAGGATGGGCTGTCCTGGGAAAGTAAAGACGGCCGGCGTAATGCTGACCACATTACCCACCGAGTGCTGATGGTCTGTAAAAATATGGGACACTCTGCCCATATGCCCGATGCGCCGAAAGGCGTGAAAAGGGATCTTTACTTTTTTTTTTAAGTCGTATCAATAGCTATGTAATGTGTGACTCTTTCTATCTGGATGTTTTTAGATATTTTTTGACCCAGTTTTTGATATTTTTTGTCAAAGAAAAGTGGCAACTGATCACCACACCAAAGGCTGAATAACCTTATAATGATATAGAGCAGCGGTTCTCAACCTGTGGGTCACGACTTTTTTGTGGGTTGAACGACCCTTTTACAGGAGTCGCCAAAGACCATCGGAAGACACATATTCACTGAAGCTATGAGGTAGCAACGGAAATAATTGTATGGATGGGGGTTGCCACAACATTAAGAAATGTATTAAAGGGTCGCCGCATTAGGAAGGTTGAGAACCACTGATATAGAGGGTTATGCCTACTAGAAGAGAAATAAAGGACATTTTTCCTTCCCTGCAGGCATATTGGGCACATAGGGCTAGACCTGTATTTTATAGACCAGTCGGCACTTAGTGGGTCAGCATCATGCATGCTGTCTTTACTTCCCATGATTTTACCTGGAACCCATTTAATGCTGGCTCAACCTTGGACCCAAGGTCATTTAGGAAAGAAAAAAATATCCTGCTCGGTCAGAACCTGAACCTATGACTTTAGACTGCGCAGACATGCATATAACCACTACACCAGGGAAGCTTCCATGGTTAATGACTACTATTTTTTTGAAAAGTTCATTAACCATATTTTTACCTTGGACTGTCTCCATGTGGGTTCGAGGCCCCTATTGTGGGGTTTTGAAAACAAAAGCCCTATGGCTCCCTGGCAAGCATGTCTAATTAAGGGTTTTTTCTTCAAAGTTGGAGTGCATTTCCCAGAGAGGCGAGAAACCTTCATTCCTGATACAAATAAACCAGATCTGCATGAGAAGATTGCCACAATGGGAGAATGCACAGCAGGAGTCTATCAATCTTCAGCAGATGTTCCATTTCGACAATTGTTTTCACCATTTACTTCCCTAGACAATTTTAGGGGGCCTGCCAACCCAGCTCATGAGTTCTGGGCCGGGGCAACTCCTGCTGCGTTTATCGGACAGTGTGACAAGGGGTTATGGTAATTGCAACAGGTACTGAGGTTATGGTGATATCGCGGGGTAGCAAATTAAGCGCCTACCTGCTTGGCCAGAGTGACAAATGGATGGTTGGTTCATCGGATAGACCGTTATCGGACAGACTTTGGCATTTTGCAGAATTAGTCAAACAACTTTGGCTTGTAGGAGTTAACAGTTCTTTTCCACTAGCGGCTCTGACCAATCTGTCAAAGCCTATCCCCCACATCATTCCATTGTGACCACAACCAGCTCGAAGCTCTCTCTGCAGCTTCACCCAGCTGCTTTGGTGCCCATATATTCTGGTTCCCCTGCAAGCCCAGCTGCTTGAGTGCATTGTTTGTGGAGGTGGAGATTAGCCCTCTTGCACCCATGTCAGTGGTAAAGTTTTACTGCGTACCCCTTACTGTAGATCTCAAGCTTGTACAGGTGTTGTCTTTGGTTCATGATTCATACGGCACGCTCAGCTCTATCAGGATAATCTGACGCTGTACCACTGAGTGCGACACCATGTCTGGCCTCAGCCCAGCCTCTTGGATTAGTTTTAGATGCCTCTCAAAACCAGACAGGTCAGACGCTAGTTGCCAGTCTTGCATACAGTCAAGTATGGATGGAGTATATGCTACTTTATTGAATGTACCTTGAGAAAGCGTCTGAGAGGAGAGGGGTAGACATAAAATATATGTGCATGCAAAACTCAATGTCTGAAAGAAAAAAAAAAAGACTAAAATCCAGACGTGGACGAATCACCAGAATTTTCCATCAGAGTTTACGGCCAGTGAGTGTGGCACAGAAAAAGATATGTGCTGTACAATCTCCATTGCCATGGTAACAATCAGTAGCTATAATTTGGCATGGCTGCTGTCCATTGTGCATGTGTTGACATAACATTGTGTATATTGAGAACATATTGCAAACCCCCAGGGTTTGCTATTTCTTCTTCTCATAGTCTACGCCATGTGGTATTGGTTGTCATCATTATTCACAGCCATTTGTCTTAAGCACTTTCAGTAAATTCTGACACAGGTCTCTGTCAAACTGTCCAGCATCTGCTCTTTCAGTCTCCTCTTCCTCTCTTCCCATCCAGATTTCGCACTGTCACTGTGTACTCTGGTTTTCCCCTTCTCATAAAATGAACAAAGAATGTAGATTTCTCCTTCTGACGCGGCCAGTCAGTTCTCTCTATGTTTCTTTCAAGACATCTTTATTACTTGTTATCTGTCCAGGGTATTCTCACCGTTCGTCTATGAAACCACATCTCTGCAGCATCCACATAATTTGTCCCCTAATCGACCAACTATCCATGATTCACTTCCATGTATCAGGAAAGAATTTATTTAACTTTTAGGAATTCTCTCTCTCGATTCAGTTGACTAAAAAAGATTGCATAGTATATTCTTCATTTAGTAAAATCCTGCATTTGCTTGAGCTATTCTACATTTAACTTCTGAAAGACGTTTTCCATCTGATGTTATCAGGGTACCCAAGGAACAAATCAGTTTGCTTCAGGTTTGTCCCATTTACTTTGATGTTGCATTTAAGAGAGTTCATGCAGTATCAGTATAATTGATGTCACATTTATTAATTGTACGTTTCTGTTGTTCATAGAATGCATACAGACAGTTGTCAGATCAGTATACCCAGTTGCAGCAGAAGCTGCAGCAACAGATAGCGAATCTACCACAGCAACCGATAGGGAATCTACCACAGCAACCGATAGGGAATCTACCACAGCAACAACAACTGCAGCAGCAGCAGTCACAGGATGCACACTTGCAGACAGGACTGCCTTTGAAAGACCAGGCTGAGGTATGACAGTAGTTTTACCCTTTTAGAAATGTTTAATTTACGCTAACCATAGATATAGGAACTCTGCACTGGCTGCTGAAGATAGGGATGAAGTGCTTATGGGAATGCCTCGAGTGATGTGATGTCGGTTCTTGAATCAGATGAGTTCAACCCAACACTCCGGGAAACGCTTTAAAAAAGAAGGGGGAGCCATATGGGGGAATTCCCAGGGGGAAAACCCTTATCAACAACCATACCATTTCACTTAAGTTTGTAATAAATTTTGTAACAATTTATTTACATTAAAAAAGCAAAAATTTAAATGTATCAAGATATACAAAGGGAGTTATCATTATCAAAAATTAACTGAGTGAAGAATTAAAACGCATTCCCTGAGGCCTCACCAGTCCATACACCTTTTTAAAGACAGACGAAGAAGCAGGCACTTCATCGTTATGCAATACATGGCCCACTGGTGGACCATGGGAATATTCAGGTGGGCCGCCAGCAATGTCTGCCTAATCATGTAAGGGGTACGGTAGGTAGTTTTTCTCTTCCAGGATTGTAGTCTACAGAATCAACACTCAGGGGTGAAAACCAGAATTCAGTAACTACATCTGAAATGTGCTGTCTCCGCAAGGTCGCCAACAGCACAAGAAGGGACAGGGTTACGCGTTAGAGAGAAAGTTGGTATGAAACCACATCTGGAACTGTATATGAGACTTTTTTACAGCAGAGCATCTTTGAGGAAGGCAAGAGGAAGACCAAGAAAGACGTGGATAAATGCTGGAGCTGAAATCTGCAGAAAGATAAACAAATCTATCACCTTTGACACTGGGCTGCCAAACAGCACAAATCCTGGAAACCCCATTCAGCAGCATTTGGTTTGATGTCAGGTGGGCTGCAGCCAAACAGATACAAATCCTGGAAACCCCATTCAGCAGCATTTGGTTTGATGTCAGGTGGGCTGCAAAAAACAATCTTCCCAGTTTTGGTGTTAAAAAGGTTGAGAAACTCTGCTCTACATGAATGCCTATCAAAGTGGTCCTCATGTCTGATGCAATTTTTTTGTTATTTGAAGCCCCACCCTGGCTTCTGCCGGAGGCCCTGAATATAGCCGGGGCATAGATATGGTCTAACGGCTGAAAGGGGTTTCCGGGACCTCCCCACGGCTGATCCTCATCCGCTGGTTGGCACTTTGTGTCAGTGGGTGTTTATCGCTTGTGTGGTGTCCTGGTGGGGTACAACTCACACCTGCCTGCCTGCTCTACATGACTACCATTGTTGTGAAGACACATTTCAGTGCATGTGCTCCACTGATGAAGAACAGGTACAAGCACAGCTGGAGCTATGCTTGTGACGGTGTTGGTATGCCCCCCCCCCCCCACCCCCCTTTTCCCAAGTATGCAGACTTATGGGACACCCTGTACATTAATTCATGTCTGTCTTTCAGCAACATGGACTGGCAGGTGACAGGAACCCCAGCTTACCTGACCTTGGTCTGGGTTTGGGAGTCGTCAACAACAACCCTGTTCCAGGGCAGCTTAAATTCAACACTGAAGGTTGGTGAAAGAGCTAGCATAGACAACCTAATCATCTGACTTTCAGGTCCTCCTTGTTTATACAAGAATTGCTACAAGCTTTACTTATCCCAGCAAATGATTTTTTGATATTTTCTCATTATCATCATCATCATCATACATCAGGACCCTTACAGAATGTTGCTCTCATTATGGTCTGCCTGAAAGAAACTCAAGCCTCTACCTAGCTTTCTTGCTCGTGCTATTTCCCACCTAAGGTATTACCTATTTCCTGTGCCCATCTTCGTGCTGGTCTGTCCCTGCTTCTCTTTTCTGGTACCATGCCTTTCGATGCTATTCTTTCCAGTCCACTTGATATGCGGCCGGCATGATGCTGACTTCATCACCCTGCTGATTGGTCTGTAAAAATATAGGTCTAGCCCTATATGCCCAATAGGTCTGAAGACAATAGAAAATGGTCCTTTACTTTACTTGTACCACTTGATATGGCCAAAATATTTCAGTTTGGGGAACCACCATGAACCACGGTTCTGCTCCAGTTGCAGGGCTGTACAAGTCCTTGACCCTGTGAACCTGGCAAAATGGGTCCGCAGTTCAATTTTCATATTAATCAATAGGGCTTACATCTATACCAAGGGACAAGAATACATAGACTCAACTTCCAAAAGCCCTAACCCTTCATAAATTCATATATTGCACACAACATTCACCAGCCAATCTCACTTGATGTTCAAATCTTTTAGTATTTGAGTATTGTTTTCTTCTTGGTCCATTCTCTGTATGTCATAATTGTCTGTAGCTTAATCGCAGAATGTACCAGTGGATCTGGATGTTGTTATTGCCTCTTTGCAGGAAACTTAACACAGGTCTTTCTTATCTAAATAATCTGTCACTAGAGGTTGAGGATTGAGTCATTCATGAGAGGAAGATAATTGAGCCAGCCAGGGGAGATAGATAACTCAGTCTGGAGGAGTAGATGAGGCCGTCTGGACAGATAGATGATTGATTCAGTCAGGGGAGATAGATGACTCAGTCTGGAGGGCTAGATGAGGCTGTCTGGACAGATAGGTGATTGAGCCAGCCAGGGGAGATAGATAACTCAGTCTGGAGGAGTAGATGAGGCCGTCTGGACAGATAGATGATTGAGTCAATCAAGGGAGATAGATGACTCAGTCTGGATGGGTAGATGAGGCTGTCTGGACAGATAGATGATTGAGTCAGTCAGGGGAGATAGATGACAGTCCTGAGGGGTTAATGAGGCTCTCTGGACAGATAGATGACTGAGTCAGTCAGGAAAAGTAGAAGACTGAGTAAATCAGAAAAGATTGATGATTGCTTTAGCTAGGAAAGGTGAGAGGATTGAGTCAGGAAAAGTAAAAAAGTCAGTCGCGCAGGAAAAGTAGAGGAATGAGTTAATCAGAAAAGAGTTGAAAGGGAATCTCATGTCTATGAGGCTTTCACATATGCCAGCCATACGAGGTGGTGAGGCTAGTTCCCTTCTTCGGACGATTCCCTGATAGTTAATTAGTGCTCATATTTACAAAAATGACCTTCCTGCAGATTTAAAAAAAATCTTCATAAAGATTCCTGCAAGAAATGGCCTTATAAAGAAAATCATAACTATGCCAGTGAGATGTCTGAAAAAGGCTGCAGGAGTGACCAGATGAGATACAATCAGGAATAAGCTTATAAGAGATACAAGTTGGCAGAGAACCAGTTCTAAATTACTTTCAAAGACAGCAAATCACATGGGTTACCCATCAGAGTTGGATTGAGTCATAACAGCACCTGGGTCATTCCCATGCAAGCTCCAATTACAGAGAATGCATTGTGATGCTAAACAAGGCACACACTTAAAGAGGAAAGGACGCTTAGTACAAAGTATAGAGCTAAAACAAAATCAAGATGGAAAGATAAAATCAGAGAAACGCTACAACATCACATTGTGTCAGGGGTTGAGGCGGCCATAATAGCAAGAAGCAGATCCTTATATCTGCCTCGATACCCGAAGTGGTAAAAGAAGGAGTGAAGAAGAAGGAAAAGACTGTTTACGTTCATCACATGGAGTTCTACATTCTTTGGGCACATTGTGAGAAGGGGAAACATTGTGACAAAGAGGGAAGTTGGAGGTAAGTAACTTATTAAAAACACATAAGCTTAGAAGGTAAACACAGTAAACTCACATTTTGTCTTTAAATAAAAATATTAAAAAAAGAGGTGCCTCAGTTATTGCTGTCAAAATCCCTGGACATACACGCACGCACACACACACGACCACAGGCTGTTCTGACCAGGGCTTTTTCTAGAGAGAAAAAAGGGTGTCTACCTAACACACAAAGTGCCTTAAAAAGGCTTGGGCACTCACCACAAAGTGCCTTAAAAAGATGCCTTACTCGCCACAAAGTGTCTAGAAAAGGTGGCGGTACTTACCACAAAGTGCCTTGAAAAGATGCCAGTACACACCAGACAGTGCCTTAAAAAGGTGCTGATACCACAATGTGCCTTAAATACATGCTTAAACACACCAGACAGTGCCTTAAAAAGTTGCTGGTACTCCCCCATAAAGTGTCTATTACTATTACTGCACAAGAATTGTTGCATAAATAAAGGTGCTAACAGCCACACACAAAAAAGCACTGACTACGCTTTGATGTTTAGTGTTAATCTGTTTCATGTCTGTATTCCATAGCCAACCTCAGACCTGCTGTTGATGACAGCCTGAATGCTCAACATCAGATGAGACCGCCCAGCAACAGTGACATCAAGCTGGATAGTGATGATGCAAACAAGGGATATAAAGATGTAGGTTTGGTTTCTGATGCTTTTCCTGCCCACATTGGGTCGCAGGTTGTTTCACAGCAGTAGTGTGTCTCAGTTTATCTGTGTTGTCTGGTTGTGTAGTCTGTTTGTTCTGTGGTGAGACTTTTGTACTGCTTCTTCTTTCTTCTTTTGTCATCTCACTGATACCAGGTTGAAGTCTAGTGTCCTGGTTTTCTATGTCTGTCTTTTGCTTTTCATGTGGCTTGGTTGACGGATTTGTTCATCTTTTTTTTTTTTTTTTGCAGGTTTCAGCTACACCGTTTATCCGCACCTTTCTTGGTCTTCCTCTTGCCTTCCTCCCAGATGTTCTGCTATAAAAGGTCTCATATGCAGTTTTTTTTTTTTACCACTAGACTTTTGTAAGTTAGTTGTGTATCCTTTACAGGACGTTGCAGAACCAACCCTAGCATTTTTTGGCTGTTGTGGTTTTTCTAGGCAAATTTTACGTTTAGTATATCGCCATTGCTTTCTGAGCGGTCAGTGCTAAGTATTACTGTCGAAACCAATCCAAGACAATTGCCCACAGGTGGGATCGAACCTGGCACCCCGACATTGTGAAGCATGTTCGCAATGCCTACGACGCAGGCGCCAATTAGACTTTTGTACCGCTACCTAAAAATCACAAGAGCAATATTGGGGGGGGGGGGGTCTTTTTTGTATTTATTTTTTTAAGTCGCCGGGGTGAAGGAGTTAACCATTGCTTTGACTGTTTCCAGATATGTTTTTATGTGTGCATCTTTATGTCCACTGTATGACTGAATTGCTTTGCAATTAATACACATAAAAGAAATTTGTGAACTTATTTTTTTTTATCACTACATATGCCATTACAATTAATTATGAGTAGTACCTGTGTGAAAATGATAAACTGTTTATCATCACATTTGTTACTGTTGCTTTTTCATCTCTATGGTTTCCGTATACGGATAAATTAGTATCTATATAGTGATAAATTCTTGAGTATGATATCTATAAATTGATAAATTCTTGAGTATGGTATCTATATAGTGATAAATTCTTGAGTATGATATCTATAAACTGATAAATTCATTACTGTGGTATCTAAATATTTTATTAAAATCATTACTGTGGTATCTATATATTGATAAATTAATCACTGTATTATATGTAAAGTGATAAATTCATTCTGTGGTCTCTTTATATTGATAAAGGAATGACTAGTATCTATAAAGGGATAAATTCATTACTGTGGTCTCTTTATATTGATAAAGGGATGACTAGTTTCTGTAAAGTGATAAATTCATTACTCGGGTCTCCTTATATTGATAAAGTAATAACTAGTATCTATAAAGTGATAAATTCATTACTTAGGTCTCCTTATATTGATAAAGTAATAACTAGTATCTATAAAGTGATAAATTCATTACTGTGGTTTCTATGGGGTGATAAAATCATCACCGTAGTATCCATGTATTGGTAAATACATTACTGTGGTATCTGTGCATTGATGAATACAGCACTTGTATGTTAAGTAAGTGTAACTGTTTGTGCCACATACTGTATATCCCCACATATAAGACGCACATTGATTTTGGGGCCGGAGATTTTGAGGGGGAAAAAATATGGTTACATGAAGTTATTGAACTTATGTTCTATTCATCATATAATCCATAGAACTCATCACTGTCTAAATTCTCATCCATATGGTAGGTAGTTCTTGAACTTGTCCTTGTCTGTGTCTGATGAAGATTCCTCTTCTTCTTTACATCTTCTTTTACTGTTCGGGTGCCGAGGGAGATATAAGGTCCTGCTTCGTGCTCTTATGGCTGCTTCGACCATAGACACATAGTTGTGCTGTAGAGTTTCTTTGATGTTATCTTCCCATTTTGTTCTTGGTCTACCTCTTGCTCAGCATCCCTCTCCTCTTTTGGTATATGCCTTGAATGGTATAGCATCAGAAGGCATTCTCTGCAAGTGGGAAAACCATTTGATTTGCTGTCTTTGTATGTAATTTAGGTGATGAATCACTGTCTTCATTTATTGCCTCACCCTCTGTTCCTTCAATCCATATTTACAATCCCGTCTTTAAATCAGGCCATTTTGCTGACTTGCCTTTTATGGCTTTTTTCCGGGGCATCTTCAGTGAGGTTTCTGCTTCCTGATAGCCAGTTTGGGGTTGTTTTCTCACTTGGAGGAAGACAGAATTTACCTTCGGCAGCAGCACAATTTCTGTTCACTTTTGCAAGCTGGATCACTTTGAACTTGAATTCAGCACTGTATCAACATTGGGTGGGGGGGGAATCTCTATGGGCATAACCTAACCTATTAGCAAACACAAACACTTTTACATGGAAGAGAACTTTTATAAATTTTGTCCCCCTTTTTTTTATGTCGCCCCTGAGCTGGCTTTCACAAATGAGGCCCTATACAGGATATTTTCTATCAAATTATGCAGTATGCAGTAAAAAAAGGTGCGCACTGTTTTTGAACCCTATATTTTGGGAAACTTAGTGTGTTTTGTACTAGGCGAAATACAGTATGTTATCATTATTTAAATATGTTTGTGATACAGAGATAGAGAAAGATAAAGAGCATTTTGTGTTACATATGACTATGGTTATCAAATTTGTGTGACCTTTACATGATTACGTCCTCAACAGGTAAGCCTACAACATGTTGTCAATCCGAATGATGAGCAGAAGGCTCAGATTCTCGGACCTTCCCTGGACAGCCACGATAAACACCAGGGGGGTGGAGAGGTGGACATTGTTGGCATGAACGTGAAGCGAGAGGACGAGGAGGACAGGGAAAAGAGTGAGAGAGATTACGATGCTGGGAATGCCCACCCCAACAACCCGCTGGCACTCGGCCAGCTTGCCCTGCCCAGAGAGGTCAGAGACCTTAATGATCCGGCTGGACTGAATAAGAAAGATGATGTCCAGCAGATACCTCCTTTGCTAAATGATGAGGTACGCAGTGCCCTTTCTTTCTGTTTTGTGTGTCTCAGTTATTTTTTTTTTCATTTGTCTTTGTTTGCTCCTTTATATTTCATCACCATCATCATGTGCCTTGTTGATGAGTGGGCTATCATGAGTCACCATATCACAAGGTCACCAGAATAATCACAGATCAGGTCACTGCCCATGTTATACATGGTTTGGAAGTAAATACAAGACCTAACATCTTGTTGAGACATCTGTGTTAACACTTTGTTGAGACAAGTTATCTGTGTGATCACCTTGTTGAGACAGTTGTCTGTGTGGTCACTGTATTGGGACAGTGTCTGTGTGATCACCTTGTTGAGACATCTGTCTGTGCGATTCTTTGTTGAGTCAGGGTTGAGCCAGCTATCTGTGTCATTTTTAGTTGAGTCAGCTATCTGTGTCATTTTTAGTTGAGTCAGCTATCTGTGATTCTTAGTAGAGTCAGAGTTGAGTCAGCTACCTGTGTCATTCTTAGGTGAATCAGCTGTCTGTGCCATTCTTAGTTGACTCAGCTATCTGTGTCATTCTTAGTTGAGTCAGCTATCTGTGCCATTCTTAGTTGAGTCAGCTATCTGTGTGATTCTTTGTTGAGTCAGAGTTGAGTCAGCTATCTGTGTCATTCTTAGTTGAGTCAGCTATCTGTGTCATTCTTAGTTGAGTCAGCTATCTGTGTGATTCTTAGTTGTCAGCTATCTGTGTCATTCTTAGTTCAGTCAGCTATTTGTGTGATTTTTAATTGAGTCAGCTATCTGTGTGATTTTTAATTGAGTCAGCTGTTTGTGTGATCACTTTGTTGCGCAGGGCTCAATCTGGTTGAGACACATAATCAGGGGATCACATAATTAAGAACATTTTGCTATGTCACATTGTGGATAGGGGTATCTGGTTTTCTTTGGATATTTTGTTGTCAACTTTTATGTTGTCTTCAGATATTTGTTTAATCAATTTGTCTGTTACAGAATGACCAGAAGGAACAAGTCCGTGGAGGAGGTAAGAATTTATTAACTTGGCAAGTACAGTAGTGTTGCAGTTTGTGCTATTTATGAATTTGAGGATATGGTTTGGTTCGGTGCTTATGATTGTGTTATTTTATTGTTCATGTTTTGCTCTGTCTGTGACATTTGGACTCCTTGCGGGGCTTTCTGATACACTGGGGCTTGTGGATATAACATGTCTGTAATCATGGTTTGTGGGGATACAACATATCTCTAATCTTGATTTTTTAGGATCAACACATCTCTAATTATGGTTTATGTATATAACATTGGCTGTTGATGATTTGTGAGGATGCAACATTTAGAAGTAATGCTTTATGTGGGTACAACCTGCACTAGTCATTGTTTGTGGGGATAAACATTCAGTAGTCTTGGTTTATGTGGATACAACATTCACCAATCGTGATTTTTATGGATACAGCATTCTTTGATCATGGTTTGTGGGGTTAAACATTCACTAGTCATGGTTTGTGTGGGTACAGCATTCACTAGTCATGGTTTGTGTGGGTACAACATTCAGTAGTCATGGTTTGTGCTGGTACAGTGTATAGTAGTCATGGTTTGTGGGGGTACAGAGTTCAGTAGTCATGGTTTGTGTTGGAACAATGTTCAGTAGTCATGGTTTGTGTGGGTACAGCATTCAGTAGTCATGGTTTGTGTTGGTACAGTGTTCAGTAGTCATGGCTTGTGGGTACAACATTCACTAATCATAGTTTTTGTGGGTACAATATTCAGTAGTTGTGGTTAGTGTGGGTACAACATTCAGCAGTTAGGGTTTGTGTAAATACAACAACATTCAGTAGTCATACTGTGTGGGGATGAATACTTCCCTAATCATGGCTTCTGAGTGCTATATTGTTTGTTTGTTATTGCTTGGGGATGGATCATCAGAGGCATTTACACAGATGGTGGGTGTGTCTGTTGGCAGGCAGAGCTAGCGGAAATGCAGGGACCAGTTTTTGTTGTATAAGGCCCTAAGCTGTATAAAGCCCTGAGGCCCCTTGCCATTTGAAATGACTGAGATTAGCTTCATCTTCTTCTTCTTTTCCTCCTCCTCCTCTCACATTCATAGGCTGTAAACTCTGGCAGAGTATTTCTAGTTGTTCTGCCACTTCTGGACTGTGGCCTTATTCCATAACTTGAGTTTTGAATGCACATCCATTTTACGGATCACTTATTTGTATGCAGACTGATAGTTCCTTGCCTCTGAAGTAGGTGCACTCTGACTTCAAAGCATAACACAATTATCATAATCATTCTGGGCAAGTGGGAGCAAATAAATGTACTGCAGAACTTGCAGCATAACTTGAAATTGGGAACAACTCAAGGCTTTACAACTTAGACATTGAATTCTCTTAAAAACATGAGAAAAATTAAAATAGAATCACTAAAAGCCTAAAAACGTGACCTCCCTGACAGAAACAGAGTTTTTAATTGAATTCCTAAAAACGTCATAGCCATATTTTTTTAGCGTTATCGGGCCGAAAAAGTTCGTGAGGCCTATGACTTTTCAGGCGTTTTTTTTTCTTTATCAGGGCCAGTTTGAGAGCTGTTCTATAAATTACTTTATATTGTTATTCCTCCTAAGATATTTTCTCTCTTTTTCTAAAAAGTCATATATAAAGAGTCTCTTTTTGATCCTGTCTGATGTAAAGGTTGCTTCATGGCCATCTTGTTGTGCCCCAGTAAAACTGCTAGATGGTTGAACAGGGTTTTTAGGTGTTTGATTCTCACCCTTGAGGTGGTAATCCTGCAGACTAGAGAAGGAAAAACTTTTACAAAATAAAATGCTGTCTGTTTAACTAATTCTCGACATAATCAGGTGGTTACCTTCTACGGAAAACTAATTGTTTAATTGAAGTTAGTTTTTTTTTAAATTTAGGAAGAGTTGTTTTATCTTTTTTGACCTTAACATACAAAGAAAGGGGAAACATTTTTGATTCTTTACTTATAACTGTGAACCTTGCCCACTATTTTTAATCTTCTTCATCTTCTTATTCTTATTCTTCTGCTTCATGTTCTTTTCCATCCACCCTTAAACAAAGGGAAGTTTGTCGTCTTTATGTTGACACTATTGTCTTCCAGAGGCGGTGTTTGTAGATTAAAATCTTGTTTAAGATGTTTGTTATTTAGGGTGTCTATGCTTGATGATGTGTGTATGTACGTTCTTTCTGTGTGCTGTTAATTCCGATTATATCTGCTTGTAATAGACCAGTCTCTCTCTCTCTCTCTCTCTCTCTCTCTCTCTCTCTCTCTCTCTCTCTCTCTCTCTCTCTCTCTCTCTCTCTCTCTCTTTGTATGTCTGTCTTTCTGTCTGTCTTTCTCTCTGTCTGTCTGAGTTTTCTTTTTCTGTCTGTCTCTGTCACTCTCTCTCTCTCCCGCCCCCTTCCCTCCCTTCCTCCCTCGTTCTCTCTCTCTCCCTCTCTCTCTTCTCTCTCTCTCTGTCTTTGTATGTCTGTCTCTGTCTTTCTCTCTGTCTGTCTGAGTCTTTCTTTTTCTGTCTGTCTCTCTCTCTCTCCCTCATTCTCTCTCTCTCTCCCTCTCCTCTTCTCTCTCTCTCTCTCTCTCTCTCTCTCTCTCTCTCTCTCTCTCTCTCTCTCTCTTTGTATGTCTGTCTCTGTCTTTCTCTCTGTCTGTCTGAGTCTTTCTTTTTCTGTCTGTCTCTGTCTCTCTCTCCCGCCCCCCCCCTTCCTCCCTCGTTCTCTCTCTCCCTCTCTCTTCTCTCTCTTCTCTCTTCTCTCTCTCTCACTCTCTCTCTCTCTCTCTCTCTTTGTATGTCTGTCTCTCTGCCTTTCTGTCTGTCTGTCTTTCTTTTTCTGTCTGTCTGTCTCTCTCTCTCTCTCCCTTCCTCCCTCGTTCTCTCTCTCCCTCCCTCTTCTCTCTCTCTCTCTCTCTCTCTCTCTCTTTGTATGTCTGTCTCTCTGCCTTTCTGTCTGTCTGAGTCTTTCTTTTTCTGTCTGTCTGTCTCTCTCCCTTCCTCCCTCGTTCTCTCTATCCCTCCCTCTTCTCTCTCTCTCTCTCTCTCTCTCTCTCTCTTTGTATGTCTGTCTTTCTGTCTTTCTCTCTGTCTGGAGTCTTTCTTTTTCTGTCTGTCTGTCTGTCTCTCTCCCCCCTCCCTTCCTCCCTCGTTCTCTCTCTTCTCTCTCTCTCTCTGTCTCTCTCTCTCTCTCTCCACACATCCCCACCCCCACTTGTGTCTTTTGTATCTTCACTACTTGATGACTTGTGCTGTTGTCTTTAATACATTGCTGCTCGTATATTGTTATTTGTATTTTTTTTAGCTTCTGTTTGCTTGTATGTCTGCCTTATATAGTTTTCACACAGCCAGTTAATACATGCATATCTGCTGTGCTGCCATGTTCATTTGATGTCTGCTGTCTGTGGTGTGTGTGCGCACACCTGTCTGATGTCCTTATTCTTATACTTCCTAACCATTTTGTGGTACCTAAGTAGAACTTTGCTATAGGGTAGAACAGGGTTTCTGAGATTTTCCCCTGTTTGGTTTTTATCCTTGAGATGTCATGAACTGCAATCGTAAAAGGGTAGGGGAAAAACTTTTTTTAAAACATTATTCCAATGCTTTGCGGCGTTTGTAGTCATGTCTATTCACAGCCTTCTGTCTTTAGTACTTTGAGTCAGATAATCTTCCATGCCGAGATGTCACACTGTCCAGCATCTACCCTTACTGTCTTACTCTGCTTCTTTTCCCCTCTCACTTTCCGACTTTTATGTCACGGTGTACTCCATTTCCTTACCCTGGCTGTTTATACTTGTTATGTGTGGCTGTTTTTCTCCCCTCATTGTTGTACTTATGTCTGTGTTGTATTTTTCTCCCCTCATTGTTGTACTTATGTGTGGCTGTTGTATTTTTCTCCCCTCATTGTTGTACTTATGTCTGTGTAACTGTAAAGCCATGTAAACTGTGAGCTCTTGTAAACCTCAGAGACCTGTAGAGTAAGCTCTACACTTGCCAGTGGGGGTTCTGGGGCCCCACACTGAGGCCGAGAGAAAGCGAGGGAGGAATAGATCCACTGTCTCCCTGACATGCATGTCATAAGAGTCAGCTAATTAGCAATTTTCTGCTCAGTCTGAGTGCAAGGAACCAAGTCTGCATACAGTTGAGCAAGCGCAGAAGATAATGAATATAAATACAGACAAGATTTATGGGTTTGTTGTGACAGGGTTACTCAACTGGCTTCCTGCGGGCCAAATTAGGGCTCAGAGGCCTAGAGTGGCCAGCAGATCAACGCAATAATGATCTTTCTGCGGTACAGCTAGGCCAGCAGATCAACGCAATAATGATCTTTCTGCGGTACAGCTAGGGCTGCTGGCCCGTGACGATCTCCGTTTTCAACGTGTTGGCTTCTGTGTTAACTTAGTGGAATAGCTCTGTGTTACGAAGCCAGGCTAACATGAAAACTTAGTGACAACTGGCAAACTGAAACACAAAAAAGTAACATAATTTACTTCATTTTTTTTACTATATGGTATTACGAGGAAAATCTGTCTTTATGTGATAATCTGTGGGAGGTGGACAAGGGGCATTTATCTGTATGGCAGATGATGTTTTTTTGTGTGTCTGTGTGCGTATGTGCATTTCCTATGTTGTTTGCTCATCATTTTATTTATGTTTGTTTGTATCTTCTGTGTTAACTCTCACTATTATGTGTGTCTGAGTGTCTGCCATGTTTACCCACATAGCTTATATATATCTCCCATGTTTACCCACATAGTTTATCTCCCATGTTTACTTTATTAATTTTTCTCCCGTGTTTACCATCATAGCTTATATCTGTCTCCCATGTTTACCCTCATAGTTTACCTCCCATGTTTACCTTCATATAGTTTATCTCCCGTGTTTACTCTCATGGTTTTTCTCCCATTTTTACCCTCATAGTTTCTCTCACATGTTGACCCTCATAGTTTGTCTCACATGTTTTAACTCATATTTTATCTCCCATGTTTACCCTCATAGTTTATCTCTCATGTTTACCCTCATAGTTTATCTCCCGTGTTTACCCTCATAGTTTATCTCCCATGTTTATTCTCGTAGTTTATATTTGTCTTCCATGTTTACTCCCACTTCATAGTTTATATTTGTCTACCATGTTTACCCTCATTGTTTATGTGTGTATTTCCCTCATATTTTTATGTGTTTAGATTACGTTTTTAGATTATATTGTCTCTTTTGTGCTTTACTGTCTTAGTGTAAATTATGTCTCCTGTTTACCGCCAGAGTTTAAATTGTGTATTTCCCATGTTTACTCTAATATTTTTATGTGTTTAGATTATGTTTTTAGATTATATTTTCTCTTTCGTGCTTACTGTCAAAGTGTAAATAATGTCTCCTGTTTACCGCCAGAGTTTAAATTGTATATCTCCCATGTTAATCCTTATGTGTGCTTTCAGTTTACTCTCAGAGTTTATTTATTTCATCATAGGTTAAATAGTGTGTATCATGCTTGTTTACACTCATAGTTTATGTATGTGTGTGTTTTTAAATGTATGTGTCATGATTTATCATAGTTTTGTATGTTGCCCATGTTTTACTATAGTTTATGTGTGTCATATATTTTACCCTCTGCATACATATTCCTTGTTTAACTTAATGTGTGCTCCCTATGTTTTATCATGACTATCTTGTACATGAATGTATGTATGTATGTACGTATGTATGTATGTATGTATGTATGTATGTATGTATGTATGTATGTATGTATGTATGTATGTATGTATGTATGTATGTATGTATGTATGTATGTATGTATGTATGTATGTGTGTATGTGTGTATGTATGTATGTGTGTGTGTATGTATGTATGTATGCATGTATGTATGTATGTATGTGGCTTTTCAACCACCCTTTTAGCTGGCTGTTTACATGTGCGTGTATGTATGTGCCATGTTGTTTGTGCTCAATACCCTGACCTTGCCTGACCCTTCTGTAGAAAACCATTATTTTGGGGAGGACGAAGAAGCTCAACAGCAGCAGGAAGAAGAGCAGCAGCAGCAACAGCGCCAGCAGCAGGAGGACGAGAGACAGCGGATGGAGGAGGATGAACCAGAGGAAGGCGATGAGAGTGAACACCAAGTAGACAGGTTCCGTGATGATATCGGTAATGACGACAACAAAGAGGCAGATCTAGCAGATGTTAACAACTAGGAACTAAACCACACACACACAACAACTGTTAGTATTCTCACGTCTGCATGACAATGGGTGGGAAATCACGTTTCTTATTTTCCTTTTGTCCTTCTGTTGACTTCATGATAACCAAATCACATTTTTTTTTTTTTTTCTGTTTTTAACCTCCAAGTTGTCACTGAATCTTGTTGTCTTTTGAGGGAAGCTAACAGTTACTGCTTTTATTGTCTGCATTTTTGTGTAGAGTTCAAATATTGCATGGATGAGGTGTTTGTTTGCATGGTTGCACACTAGAGTCATCTGGTCACTTGATTGATCTTCCACTTGTAGATGGTGATGTGTTAACTGCACAACTCACATATAAGTCATAGTTTAGTGGCATATATTCAGTTAGGGTCGTCTTATACTTCAGGGCAAAAAAATGTATTCTAGTCTTGAAAGTGGTTATTGATCTCTTTGGAGAAGGAGACAACTGGGGTACTTTGTGACTTTGAGAATGTTGGAAGGGACCTACAGCAAATAGACACCAAGAGAGAAGATACTGAACAGTTTGACATGATGGCATGAAAGATCATCAGTGTCAGAACTGATTGGAAGTAAACAAGCCAGAAGGTTGTGGATAGACATCACTGCCAGTGCCACACTGCAGCGTGGATTATAAGAAGCAGAAGAAGAAGAGTTCCGAAAGTGGCAAATCATAAGCATAAATCTGTTTTTCTTTGGCTAATAGCATCAGAGTTGTGACATCACTGTGTATATTTAGAGTAGGTTGGCTCTGAGGTGAGCCAGTACTCACACTTAAGAGTTCCAGCATTGTGGCTTGTATGATGAGTTCATTCCTGTGAGCCCCATCCATTGCATCATCTGTTCTCTTACATTTTATATTTGGTCAGTGCATACTCCAGAAATCTGGTTTTCCAAGGGCCATTACTCTTGTTTATTTAGCTTTTTTACAGTCATGCACTCATAATTGTTAAATTTTTTTGGGGTGCTAATATTTAAAAAATCTTCAAATGAGCTGGGACATTAAGATGTGAAGCTACTGCACTTGTTTACATATACTGTGGTTCTAAGTGCGGTTCCCCGCGGAGAAAAGGTTGACCCACCCAGTGCATAATTGTGGTGGAAGTGGATTTTCCCTACCTTCAGTTTATTGTTAATGGTCTTGATGAGTTCTGGACTGGTGTGCATGCTGCCTAATGTTCCCTGAATTGTGAACATGTAATCAGTTTTTGTAGTCACATCTCTCCCAGAATCCTCTGTCAGCTGTGATTGTCGTCTTTTAACTGAGCAGCTGCTGGGGACTGTCACAGATTTGCATGCACTAGCTGACAGTCTTATGAAGTGTAGTGACAAGTATCTGCCTCATTTCTGTATTTTCAGATAATTATCCTATTCCATTAAAATTGATTATGTGCTTGAACCCAGCCACCCAACATTGAGATGTAGGCACTTCTAACCTCTCATAAATCATAATCATCATCATCATCCTATCAGGATATTATTCCTCACACAGGGATTATAGTTTAGTTCTCCATTGCTCAGATAAAAACTGTCAGGTCAAACAGTAGAATTGTGCACATCTTGACAGGGCAAATGACACAACACAAATGATTCACATAATGTATCTTCCCATAGCCAGTGAGCCTTCTGTCATACTAGCATTGTAGAATGTATGTTTATATCACATTGCTTCAAACTGACATTTTGCTTTCTTGCAAACTTGCTGCTTTGTAGTTTTTTAACTTCTCTTGTGTGTTTTATTTTGTTAATTTAAGTCATTATTCAGTTATTTTATTCAATATTAAATGTGCATCTTCTGTGGAAAGTTTCAGAGGGGAAATGGGTTAAAACAGTGGTTATCAACCTTCCTAATGCTGCGACCCTGTAATACAGTTCCTCACGTCGTGGCAACCCCCCAACCAAACATATATTTTAGTTTGCTACTTGGTAACTTTAGTGATATGTGTTTTCCGATGGTCTTTGTCGACCCCTATTAAAGGGTCGTTTGACAGACAGAAGGGTCACGACCCACAGTTTGGAAACTGCTGGGATAAAGAATCACTGCTATTGTACACAAGTATCTCTGTATATATATATATATATATATATATATATATATATATATATATATATATATATATATATATATATATATATATATATATATATATATATATATATATATATATATATATATATATATATATATATATATATATATATATATATATATATATATATATATATATATATATATATATATATATATATATATATATATATATATATATATATATATATATATCCCCATAGTTCACCCAGAGATTCCCACCCCCCTACTTCCATAGATCACACTGAAAAATCTAATACAGTGTACAGGTTTCCTAGCACCAGTGAGGATGCCCAGTATGTGGCTGTAAATATTTGCTCATGGGTAGTGGTCAGATTTTGATCTTAGTCAGTGGCCTGTTTGACTTTATTATTTTAAATTTCTCACTTCTGCTTTTTCGTCTTCTTCTTCATCTTCCTATTCTTCTTTTTCCTCCTACTCCTCCTCTTTATCCAACATTAAAGCCTATGTTCCCAACCAGCTAGTTCCAAGTCATCCACTCCTTGGTGATGAATGGAGGTCTGTCCATCTTTTCTTTATCTGTCTCACCTCAGTCTTCAATTCTCTTCTGCATATTTTATTGTTATTGTTGTTGATTATTCATGTCTGCCTGTATTCTTTTGACCCATTGAGTCCTAATTTCACCACTGCTAGGGTGTTTTTAAATTACACATTTAAGTACACTAGTTCTCCTGTGGTTGCAGTTGGTACTGTTAGTGCATCACTTCTTCTTTGGCTACCTAAGAGGGGGGCGGAGCATGTGTGAGAATATCCGGAGTGCAGCGATGTCAATTCTTGATTGATTGATCGACTTGTTCATTCCCCCCTCCCCCCACTACCACCCATTCTTCTTCGCGTTCACCAGCTGTAAATTCTGGCAGAAAGTTCTGGTTGTTTATCGACTTCTGGACTGCAGTCATGTTCCAGAGCCTGAGTGTTGCGTGTGCATCTGTTTTTACAGATCTGACTCATTTTTATGCAGACTGCTGGTTTCTTGCCTCAGGCAGATGCACCCCGATTTTCAAGGAAGCTCCAAATTAGTTGACTCTTACGACATGCTTTTGGGTATGCAGTGGGTCTATTCTTGTTTTCCCCACACTAGCGCCCCGGAACCCACACGGGGGATACCACCCATTCAGAAATACACTAGACCGCTTCCTGGACCATGTGACACATTGTAAAAATACCCTCAGTAGGCACTTTTGAGTTGAACTAAACTCAGCAGACCAATTATTGGTCCCCGTTGACGATATGTTTGTTAGAGGGCCGTGAATTTGTTATCGGGCGCGTGCACACACACACACTGTAGCCTCGGGAATCCAGGCCTGGAGTTTCTGAAATGATATTTCGTCATTTCTATCCCAGAGAATACCAAATATATCAAGTCCATCCATTGTCGCAGTTGATTGTGTCATATATGTATTGCCCTGGATATTTGACAAATGATATATTCTTGGGAATGTTTGACATGTCATTTACTTCTGGGAGTATTTGATGTGTTTTGTCTATCCCAGGGGATACTGAGCATTTCATTTCTTTTAATGAGAATACTGAGCATGTCAGTGTTCTTTCTTGGGAATACTTGGCATGATGTTTGTCTCTGAGGATACTAGAGATGTCATTTCGTTCCATGCGAAAAATGGACATGCCATTTCTATCTATGGGAATACTGGGCATGTCATTTCTATCTATGGGAATACTGGGCATGTCATTTCTAGCTATAGGAATACTGGACATGTCATTTATATCTATAGGAATACTGGACATGTCATTTTTATCTATGGGAACACTGGACATGTCATTTATATCTATGGGAATACTGGACATGTCATTTATATCTATGGGAATACTGGACATGTCATTTATATCTATGGGAATACTGGACATGTCATTTATATCTATGGGAATACTGGGCATGTCATTTATATCTATGGGAATACTGGGCATGTCATTTATATCTATGGGAATACTGGACATGTCATTTATATCTATGGGAATACTGGGCATGTCATTTGTATCTATGGGAATACTGGACGTGTCATTTGTATCTATGGGAATACTGGGCGTGTCATTTCTAGATATAGGAATACTGGACATGTCATTTCTAGCTATAGGAATACTGGAGGTGTCATTTTTATCTATAGGAATACTGGAGGTGTCATTTTTATCTATTTGAATACTGGACGTGTCATTTTTATCTATAGGAATACTGGACATGTCATTTCTGTCTATGGGAATACTGTGCATATGGTTTTTTTTTTTGGTCTGAGAATTTTGAGATGTCAAGAGTTTTGAGGTGTCATTTAAGTATTTAATATGTCATTTCTGTCCTTGGGAATACTTGGCATGTCTTTAGGAAAATTTGAAATGTCACTTGTATCCTTGTGATATGCTAGGCCTGTCATGTCTGTCCCAGGGAGTACTTTGTTTATCCTCCTTGAGATTACTGTGTGGGATATCATAATTTATTAATTGTGTGAAGTTTTTCACTATTGATTTCTCACTGCTGATGTGTTGTGTCTCTTGGGGTTATAGTGCTGGTCCATCATCTTTTGGTGTCCTACTATTGGTCTCTTCATCTGTTGGTGTCCCACTATTGGTCTCTTCATCTATTGGTGTCCCACTATTGGTCTCTTCATCTGTTGGTGTCCCACTATTGGTCTCTTCATCTATTGGTGTCCCACTATTGGTCTCTTCATCTGTTGGTGTCCCACTATTGGTCTCTTCATCTATTGGTGTCTCACTATTGGTCTCTTCATCTATTGGTGTCCCACTATTGGTCTCTTCATCTATTGGTGTCCCACTATTGGTCTCTTCATCTATTGGTGTCCCACTATTGGTCTCTTCATCTATTGGTGTCCCACTATTGGTCTCTTCATCTATTGGTGTCCCACTATTGGTCTCTTCATCTATTGGTGTCCCACTATTGGTCTCTTCATCTATTGGTGTCCCACTATTGGTCTCTTCATCTATTGGTGTCCCACTATTGGTCTCTTCATCTGTTGGTGTCCCACTATTGGTCTCTTCATCTGTTGGTGTCCCACTATTGGTCTCTTCATCTGTTGGTGTCCCACTATTGGTCTCTTCATCTGTTGGTGTCCCACTATTGGTCTCTTCATCTATTGGTGTCCCACTATTGGTCTCTTCATCTATTGGTGTCCCACTATTGGTCTCTTCATCTGTTGGTGTCTCAACGGTTGGTCTGTTGGTCTTTGAGTGTCCCACTGTTGATATATTTGGTCTCTTGGAGTTATTGTGCTGGTCCTTCATCTTTTGGTGTCCCACTATTGGTCTCTTCATCTGTTGGTGTCTCAACGGTTGGTCTGTTGGTCTTTGAGTGTCCCGCTGTTGATATATTTGGTCTCTTGGAGTTATTGTGCTGGTCCTTCATCTTTTGGTGTCCTACTATTGGTCTCTTCATCTGTTGGTGTCTCAACGGTTGGTCTGTTGGTCTTTGAGTGTCCCACTGTTGATATATTTGGTCTCTTGGAGTTATTGTGCTGGTCCTTCATCTTTTGGTGTCCCACTATTGGTCTCTTCATCTGTTGGTGTCTCAACGGTTGGTCTGTTGGTCTTTGAGTGTCCCACTGTTGATATATTTGGTCTCTTGGAGTTATTGTGCTGGTCCTTCATCTTTTGGTGTCCCACTATTGGTCTCTTCATCTGTTGGTGTCTCAACGGTTGGTCTGTTGGTCTTTGAGTGTCCCACTGTTGATATATTTGGTCTCTTGGAGTTATTGTGCTGGTCCTTCATCTTTTGGTGTCCCACTATTGGTCTCTTCATCTGTTGGTGTCTCAACGGTTGGTCTGTTTGTCTTTGAGTGTCCCACTGTTGATCCAAAAGTAAACTGTTATGGTTGAAAAACTTGCAGCCAGCAGTGTCTAAGCAATGAAATATATTATGGGAATACACTTGTGAGGGGCAGTTTATCATTTAAGTAACAGTATATACATCTTCCCTGTAGATGAGAGATGATTATCTTACCAACATCATGTACATCCTTGTACGTGAGTTCAGGCCTTTATGGAGCCAAACTTTTTTTCCCCCTGAATGAACTTGGCTCCCAAGGTCCACCAAGCCTTTAATGGGTACCAGGTAAAGTCACGGGAAGTAAAGGCGGCTGCCATGATGTTGACCCGCCACCCACTGAATGCGGATTTGGCTATGAAATACAGATCTAGCACTATATGCTCAAAATGCCTGAAAGGGGGGGTGGGGGGTTCTTTGCTTTATGTTTTGAGAATGTTCTAGACTTGATCATGAATGAAGCTCACACTAACTGCCTGCTTGCTGTTTAAAATATATACACCATTTACATTAGTATATAAACGCACAAAATAACCTTATGGCTTGTACTAACATATATTATGTACTATATGTGTATGTGATCTGCTGTGTGTTGTGTCTGTGTTTGGACAGTAGCATACAGCTGTGCTGTCTTGCCGTCTCCACCTTGAGGTTGTTGTTCGTCACAAGTGATGAGAACAGAAAGATTGGGGACAGTGAGAACAGGGCACAGTGTCCGTAGATACAAGGCCTGTTATACAAGTCTTTCTAGCCTGTCTAGCTGCCCTTTTTCCACCTTGATATGTCCCTGCTGAGGCTCTCTGTGCTGTCTGTGACATAACTGCATCACGTGTATCCTTTCTGCTGGACATATGTTGTGTTCCTTGTTATGTTCTGGTGCTATGTCATATAATACATTCATATGGGAGTCTTATCATATTATAGTGATATTTCAGATAACAGTTTCCTGTGGGACTCTGTCATAGTTTAGGGCTAGTTTCCTCTGTTACCTTATTATATGACATAATGGTTCCAGTATCTTTGTTACCAAATTATATGACATAACGGTTCCAGTGTCTTTGTTACCATATTATATGACATAATGGTTCCAGTGTCTTTGTTACCATATTATATGACATAATGGTTCCAGTGTCTTTGTTACCATATTATATGACATAATGGTTCCAGTGTCTTTGTTACCATATTATATGACATAATGGTTCCAGTTTCTTTGTTACCATATTATATGACATAATGGTTCCAGTGTCTTTGTTACCATATTATATGACATAATGGTTCCGGTGTCTTTGTTACCAAATTATATGACATAACTGTTCTAGTTTCTTTGTTACCATATTATATGACATAATGGTTCCAGTATCTTTGTTACCATATTATATGACATAATGGTTCCAGTATCTTTGTTACCATATTATATGACATAGCAGTTCCAGTTTCTCTGTTACCATATTATATGACATAATGGTTCCAGTTTCTTTGTTACCATATTATGACATAACAGTTCCAGTGCTTTTGTTACCATATTATATGATATGGCGGTTCCAGTTTCTTTGTTACCAGATTTTATGACTTAAAGGTTTTAGTGTTACAAAGACACAAGTGTATACATGAATAATTCAAAAGTTAATGCATCAGACTGTGATGTGTTTAGATAGATTAGATAAAACCTCTTGCTTGTCTGTCAATTCACATTTTATACTCACTTCATTGCCTTTATTGTGCCTATTTTACAAGTAATATGTTTCACAATTATAGTTAACCTGCACTAGTTAACCTGTTTTCCTTTCTATCTAACATGTTGATTAATTATATTTCTATTTCTTCAATGTTAAACAACTTTCTGTATTTTTGTTTAGTCAAAACCTAGGTTATATGTGCATTGATAATGTATATTCCAGTTTAACCAAATGAATGCTAAAGACATATCTATGTGAATGGTAAAGATATTTCAGTTTAGTCAAGTGATTGTTAAAAACATTCCATTTAGTTACATGAAATAAAATATGTATTCCAGTTGTATAAATAGAACATTTTGTGACCACTGGAAAGATCTGTGGAAGGAGGGATAGAGGAAGACAACGAGAAAAGATGCTTGACAGTCTGGTTGCATGGCATGGAGGTGTATCGGCACACGAACTGATACATGCTGCAAAAGATCACAGATTATGGAGAGGCATGATCGCCCACGCCAGTCGGCAAGGCACCTGATGATGATGATGATTCCAGTTCAGTTACATGAAAAGAAATATATGTATTCTACTTTATTCCCATGAAAAAAATAAATGTATTCCACTTTAGTCACATGAAAAATGTATGTATTCCATTTTATTCACATAAAAAATATATGTATTCCAGTGTAGTGACATAAAAAAATATATGTATTCCAGTGTAGTGACATTAAAAAAATATATGTATTCCAGTTTAGCCACATGAACAAAATATGTGTATTCTAGTTTAGTCAGTAGAAAATACATATATTCTCGTTTAGTCACATCAAAAATATGTCTCCTAGTTTAGTCAATAGAAAAATATATGTATTCCAATTTAGTCACATAAAAAGTATACATATTCTAGGTAGGTCAGATGAAGACTAGAGATATCCCAGTGTGACTAGAATATAATGTAAATATTCACATGTGTATTTATATAATAATGTAGCTTAGTGTGCACTCATTGTTTAACTGATTAATTATGCAATATGGAAGGTAACATGTTGTTCTGAACATTCGCAGGTGATAAAAATGTTCGAAGAGCCATCAACCCAGAGGAACCAGGGACTTTGTAATGTCAGTTGCCTTGAAGTGACCTTATAGCATGCAAGTAAACAGCTGAAAGCTGGTCAGTGACAGTTGCAGGTGTTTTGTGAGTCAGACAGAATGTGTTCCTGAGCTAGATGATGTTTGGGCTACAGTCACTGCTCAGTTTCTATATAGAGGTCTTATCTTCACTTGCCTGATGGCATTTTTGGGGGGTGTAAGCATTTGCTGTAATATAGATAACTTTTGTATAGTGGGTTAGGGGGAAGATCAGCTGTAATATAGATAACTTTTGTATAGTGGGGTTAGGGGGAAGATCAGCTGTAATATAGATAACTTTTGTATAGTGGGGTTAGGGGGAAGATCAGCTGTAATATAGATAACTTTTGTATAGTGGGGTTAGGGGGAAGATCAGCTGTAATATAGATAACTTTTGTATAGTGGGGTTAGGGGGAAGATCAGCTGTAATATAGATAACTTTTACAAAGTGGGTTAGGGGGAAGATCAGCTGTAATATAGATAACTTTTACAAAGTGGGTTAGGGGGAAGATCAGCTGTAATATAGATGACTTTTACAAAGTGGGTTAGGGAGCAAGATCAGCTGTAATATAGATGACTTTTACAAAGTGGGTTTAGGGGGAAGATCAGCTGTAATATAGATGACTTTTACAAAGTGGGTTAGGGGGAAGATCAGCTGTAATATAGATGACTTTTACAAAGTGGGTTAGGGGGAAGATCAGCTGTAATATAGATAACTTTTGTATAGTGGGGTTAGGGGGAAGATCAGCTGTAATATAGATAACTTTTGTATAGTGGGTTTGGGGGAAGATCAGCTGTAATATAGATAACTTTTGTATAGTGGGGTTAGGGGGAAGATCAGCTGTAATATAGATAACTTTTGTATAGTGGGGTTAGGGGGAAGATCAGCTGTAATATAGATAACTTTTGTATAGTGGGGTTAGGGGGAAGATCAGCTGTAATATAGATAACTTTTGTATAGTGGGTTTGGGGGAAGATCAGCTGTAATATAGATAACTTTTACAAAGTGGGTTAGGGGGAAGATCAGCTGTAATATAGATAACTTTTACAAAGTGGGTTAGGGGGAAGATCAGCTGTAATATAGATAACTTTTACAAAGTGGGTTAGGGGGAAGATCAGCTGTAATATAGATGACTTTTACAAAGTGGGTTAGGGAGCAAGATCAGCTGTAATATAGATGACTTTTACAAAGTGGGTTTAGGGGGAAGATCAGCTGTAATATAGATGACTTTTACAAAGTGGGTTAGGGGGAAGATCAGCTGTAATATAGATAACTTTTGTATAGTGGGGTTTGGGGGAAGATCAGCTGTAATATAGATAACTTTTACAAAGTGGGTTAGGGGGAAGATCAGCTGTAATATAGATAACTTTTACAAAGTGGGTTAGGGGGAAGATCAGCTGTAATATAGATAACTTTTACAAAGTGGGTTAGGGGGAAGATCAGCTGTAATATAGATGACTTTTACAAAGTGGGTTAGGGAGCAAGATCAGCTGTAATATAGATGACTTTTACAAAGTGGGTTTAGGGGGAAGATCAGCTGTAATATAGATGACTTTTACAAAGTGGGTTAGGGGGAAGATCAGCTGTAATATAGATAACTTTTACAAAGTGGGTTTAGGGGGAAGATCGGCTGTAATATAGATAACTTTTGTATAGTGGGGTTAGGGGGAAGATCAGCTGTAATATAGATAACTTTTGCATAGTGGGGTTAGGGGGAAGATCGGCTGTAATATAGATAACTTTTGCATAGTGGGGTTAGGGGGAAGATCAGCTGTAATATAGATAACTTTTGCATAGTGGGGTTAGGGGGAAGATCGGCTGTAATATAGATAACTTTTTTTGTTGGGGGGGGGGGGGGGATCAGCTGTAGTGTAGATAACTTTTACATAGTGGGTTTGGGGGGAAGATCAGCTGTAGTATAGATAACTTTTACAAAGTGGGTTTGGGGGGAAGATACTTTTACAAAGTGGGTTTAGGGGGAAGATACTTTTACAAAGTGGGTTTGGGGGGAAGATCAGCTGTAATATAGATAACTTTTACAAAGTAGGTTAATGAGCAAGATCAGCTGTAATATAGATAACTTTTACAAAGTGGTTTAGGGAGCAAGATCAGCTGTAATATAGATAACTTTTACAAAGTGGTTTAGGGAGCAAGATCAGCTGTAATATAGATAACTTTTACAAAGTGGTTTAGGGAGCAAGATCAGCTGTAATATAGATAACTTTTACAAAGTGGGTTAGGGAGCAAGATCAGCTGTAATATAAATAACTTTTACAAAGTGGGTTAGGGAGCAAGATCAGCTGTAATATAAATAACTTTTACAAAGTGGGTTAGGGAGCAAGATCAGCTGTAATATAGATGACTTTTACAAAGTGGGTTTGGAAGGAAGATCAGCTGTAATATAGATGACTTTTACAAAGTGGGTTTGGGGGGAAGATCAGCTGTAGTATAGATAATTGTTAGATGAGTAGGTTTTGGGACAGCATTAGGTATAATATAGATAATACCAGCAGGTGAGTAGGTTTGGGAGTCAATTAGTTACAATATAGATAAGCAGCAATTGAGTTAGTTTAAGAACAGGTCAGCAAAAACATAACTGTCAGACAAGCTGGTTTGGGACAAGTGTGGGTTTCATATTCCAGAAAAAAATATTGTTTCTTGTGTGACCACTGTACATATTTTTCTAGACATGTTTTTTGGAGCTAGTGATAATTTGGGGTGCTTAATTTGTTTTAATTTTTTTTTTTTAATGATCCAATAATTAATATGTGTGTGGGAGAATTCAATAATGGATATTTTTTCTTTCAAATATCAGATGCCATGGTTTTTTTTTTTTTTCGTTGCGTATATTTTTTTCTAATAGGTCTTTGGAGAACAGTAATGTTGTATGTTTGGATGTGTTGAAATATTCAACATAGCTATGTCATGACACTGTTGTTTGTCAGATAAAGTGGGAATTGTTCAGTCCTTAATTGATTCCTGGGATAGGCACAGGTTGTGAAATACGAATTCAACTTCTGTAAAGTCATTACTTTGTGCTTCGATTGTGTGCCATTTGACTCTGTTATAAGCTCTGGGTGTGTGTGTTTTTTTTTCAAGAAAAAAATATGTGTGTGCTTGTCAAGTACAAAGTTGGCTTTGTAGGCAACCGTCAGTCCCTAGAAATTATTGAGCTTTGCCAGTGGATTTGGGAACCGTGTCTGTTGTAACTGTAAAGTCCAGTGTGGGAGCGACAGTCTACATAAAAATGTGGATTCTCTTTTTCACCGAGGCTAGTCTTCTATCAGAGGTTTCCACTCTATTGCTTGCTGCGTTTGACCTCTTGCAAAATGTGACAGTCTTTCTTTTATTGTCTGCCTCCATAGGAGTCAGCATGCAGCGGTGTTTCTAAATTCAGTGCCCTGAAATTGATTATTATTTAAGATTGTGAATAAAGTTAACTGGCGAACACATACTATGGTGTGTGTGGTCTAGAGGGCAGAGCTGTCAGACATGTGGCCAGGTGTGTGTGTGTGGTCTAGAGGGCAGAGCTATCAGACATGCGGCCAGGTCTGTGTGTGTGTGGTCTAGAGGGCAGAGCTGTCAGACATGTGGCCAGGTCTGTGTGTGGTCTAGAGGGCAGAGCTGTCAGACATGTGGCCAGATCTGTGTATGTGTGGTCTAGAGGGCAGAGCTGTCAGACATGTGGCCAGATCTGTGTATGTGTGGTCTAGAGGGCAGAGCTGTCAGACATGTGGCCAGGTCTGTGTGTGTGTGGTCTAGAGGGCAGAGCTGTCAGACATGTGGCCAGGTCTGTGTATGTGTGGTCTAGAGGGCAGAGCTGTCAGACATGTGGCCAGGTCTGTGTGTGTGTGGTCTAGAGGGCAGAGCTGTCAGACATGTGGCCAGATGTTAATGGTCAAGTGTACATAGTTTGGATTTATGTCATTGTTTAACTTGCTCATTCCAAATGTGATCAGTCTCCTGAGCCATGTAAGAACAATGTCTTTGACTGATGCAAGTAAAAACATTTTTTAAGGCTCTGGATTTTCTCAAAGCCAGTATATGTCTACAACACCAATGTCGAAAATGATCAGTGTCCTTTTGAACAGTCATATTTGTTGTTGTTATTAGATTGCTTGATAGGCGTATAGTATAAATATCAGTGAGAGGTGTGTGTGGGTGCTTGCTTGTGTGTGTGTGTGTGTGTGTGTGTCCACATGCATATATGTTGTGCATGTCTACATGCGTTCATGTGTATGTGTGTGCGTCTTTCGAAAGTTTCAGATATCAGGTGGTGGTATAGTCTGTCATCATAAATTGTTACTTTTGCTATAAAGCATCATGGGGAGGAACAGTTTGCGATCCACTGCTTGATGGGCAACAATGGCTAGTGTCATTCCATGTCAGTGTAGAAGCTCTTTAATGTCATCAGTCATCATTCTGCTAGGTGACCTCTTGCTTTCACATACAATCTTTTCATATGTGGCAGCCTCATTGGATATTGTGGTCTGTCTATCAGTTGTCAAGAGGGCCTGTATCCACGGGGATATTGGATCAGTGTGGATAAGAAAAAAGTTTCATGTGTTTATAGAATATCAAGAACGCAGTGAATAGGTTATGTAACAGAGTAGTCGCCAAGGCAGATGACAGTATCCGCATCTAACAGCTCCTATGCTATACTTTATGAGCCATGGGGAAACGTTACAGAAAGAACAGTTTTACATTATCTATAGCTTCTGGCTTTCAAAAATGACCTTGGCTCCCAGGTCGACCCACCCTTGAGTAGCTACTGGGTGCACTCCCGGGAAGTAAAGGCGGCCGGCGTGATGCTGACCACATCACCCGTCTTGTGCCGATTGGTCTATACAAATATAGGTCTAGCCCTATATGTCTAAAGGCGTAGAAAAGGGTCTTTTACTTTTTTTTTATTTTTTTTTTTTTTTTTTTTTTTTACTTATATCTTCTGGCAGGGGTTTACTATCCCACTGCCGAAAGGGTCATCTACTG